ACATCGTCGTGCAGCACAGTCCCCCTGGACCAGCTCCCGTCTGCCCCTGCCCGAGAGTGCCAACAAGTCAGGCAAACACTTGAGCTGCAAACCACATTCCTGCTTCAGTCAGTTGCTTGGGATGTTTTCCTCATGCCTATCAGCATCACCTCTCTTATCTGGAGTGAGCACAAGGCATTTTGCTCCTCCATATATCCCTGGTCTGCCTGCTGACGAGCAAGCAGGCCCACAGCTGGAGCAGAGGAGTAGCTCCAAGTGCACCTACACATCCGTAGACCTAATAGGGCAAACCAGCTGAAGGAGAGAGCCCTGCAGATCCCCACAGGGCATGGGGTGCACAGTGATAAAACTAGACCCCAACATCTCTTGCACAACCCTACACATCTACCTCTCTAGGACCTGCCAGCAAAATGAGAAAGCCTGGGGTGAAAGGTTTATGCTGGTGATCTGGGTGTTGGAAAACCAACCCTCCAGTGGCACAGCCATTTAAAACCGAGCAACATGAAGCCACACACATCCATCCCCTGTGGCCTCTGTTCTTTTCTCACTGCTGCTACTTTGGTAGCTTTGCTGGGAAATAAGAGGGCACTGGTAATGCTTTTGCCTTCAGCTATAGACTGGCCTCTGACCCAAGTGCTCTTGTGAGCCTTGTCCTGTGCCCTGAAATCTTATGACCCCCCCATTCCTCAGGTCACACACCTCCCTTTTGTTGTTTCTGCAGGGTCAATTGCTTCAGCAGGAATTGAATGATGCAAAAAAAAAAAAAAAAAACACTAAAATATCTTGGAAAAAAAAAAGACAAACCCAAACCATGCAATTTTGGAACTTCCAAGATTAATGAAACATGGCAAACATTTACAACTGTATCCAAAATTTATGGGGGAAAGACATACATATCTACATTTCTTGAAATAAATGGTTTGTTTTGAAAATGCCACAGCATTTTATTTCACTGCCTCTTAAACAGAACCCTTTGATTTGCTATTTTGAAGTAGCATTTTCCACTCAAAAGAGACCTGAAATAAAAGAAAGTGTGAGAAACAAGAGGGGCAACTAACCTCAAAAAAACCCATTACATTCAAAATGTGATTCGGGTTGACCCAAAATAACACATTGGGGTTTTTCTCATTTCCACCAAACAAAAACAGGAAAAAAAAAAAGGGAAAAATTACCTTGCCTTTTGGTTTGACCCAATCCAGTTCTTTTTCTCTCCATTTTCCAGCTCAGCCCCTGAACTGAGGCAGTTCTTATTTCCCCAGATCTCTCAGAGGGCGTATTCTCTGCTTTGAGCCTCCCTGACATACAGTGCATGGGCTAACATGGAGTGAGCACCAAATTTCTGCTCCTGTTGGGGCAAACTGAACACTCGAGTGGCTCATTTTTACTCCATCTATAACTTCTACATAAGAAGCGAGTCAATATTATTCAGGCCACCTGACTTCAGAATTTCAGGAGCATCGGAAACGCTCAGTGCAGGCACTGTCTTTGCATGCGTGCATGAAGCAGGAAGGGTAAGGGCAATCTGTTCATATTTAATCTTTCTAACTCTGTCACACTTGCTGTGTGGCTTTGGCAAGTTGATTTGCTCCCATGGCTCAGTTTCCCCTATTCCAGACCAGAAACAAGCTTTATCAGCATGGCAAGCTGCTGTGCCTGCTCATGGGTGCACTCTCCTGAAAACATCATGTTACCACTGCACTAATGCACAGTGAAATTTCTTTCCCTCTGTTTCACCATCTACAGAACACTGAAAGGATTTAATAGTCTAAACCTGCCTAACATGTGTCTCTTTTGTGATGTTACTCTGCTTGCAAGGGCAGCCAAGCTTTGAGAAAAACAGCTTCTTCCCTCCCCGCCTTTTTCCCCTTTTCTTTTTTTTTTTTTCTTTTGCATCTTCCTCCATGGGTTTCCGGCGGTTCCTTACAGCCCCACTACAGACAGCTGTGCTCACTGTACCTGTGTGTGTGTCTGACTTTTCCTCCCCAGGAGATTTGTCTATAAGATAAGCACAAGCTTGCGGAAATCCTGTGTCACCGACCTTAGGGCAGCTTTTCATAGTGGGGATCCCAGTGGCCTTTTGTCCTTCTGGAGGTCCCGCTGACGGACACGTCTGTGTATTTTGCACCCCTTGAAAATCTGAAGAAAAGGTTTGGGTGCTTTACACCATCTCCACAAACACATGAGGCTCTGCCACGGCTCTGTGGTTTCGCTGTGGCCAAGCTGACTTTCATTTTCACGTGGTGGAGGGGAACATGGTGTTTGGGTTTTGGCCAGGGACTCCCGGATTGAGGTGCTGCATGGTGCAGCCTAAAGTCACTACACACAAAAGAATGATCCCTCTGGGTGGGATCAACAAGGAATTCATTCCTCAAGATCTGGGAGAGCAAGGGTTTAAATGCACCAAAGTTATAAGGAACTTAGTTGGGTGATGACTCTGAAGGGAGAAAGGAGCAGTGAAGGGAGGAAGAGCTGGGGAGGGTAGTGAGGTGGGTCAGGCACAAGTCTCCTGCGTGGGAGACTCCTGTCTTCTTGGCATGGAATAACATCAGATCACTGAAAAGTAAGAATGGCTTGCTGGGAGAAAAACTATATCCAGCCCCAAAAAAACCCAACCAACCAACCAAAAAAACAAAACAAAACAAAAAACCCCAAGCAAACAAAACAAAACAAAACCAAAAAAACACACACCAAAAAAACCCAGGACAAAACAGTATCCCAAAGATTCTTCTTAGGACTCCAGAATGGACACAGAGCTTGGACATCTGGTTGCCCTCCGTCAGAGAGAAGTGGGGGGCAGAGCCCCTGAGGTTTGACTGAGGTTTTAGAGGAGTTCACAGTACCTGGAACAGCCACCTTCTCCTTAACATCATGGCAAAACTTGACAAGAGTGACTCTACAATATTGATAACAAAGATACACAAATACACATAAAAAGACAAAGTCAGGCTCTCCTCTTCCTGAAGCTGGCACTGCATACCACACAAGACTTCCAATTCCACTAAAAGTGAATTGCTTTTCTTTTCCTAGTTTAGAAAAGAAAAAAAGTATTTCTAGGGCTTTTGTTTCAAAAATCACTATGGTGTGGCATTTTTCAGCAAAATATTTCAATTAGGGTTTTATTGTTCTTTTTTTTTTTCAGTAAGATGGATTTAGTATCTGGTTCCACAGACTCAGCAAGAGAGTAAAACAGAATTTATAGGAAACTGGGAAGTCCCAAGTGGAAATACCAGGGAACAGAGCAAAGATTATGACTTATTTGAGGACATGGAAGTAAAAAGAACAACAACATTTCCTTTGGGAGGAGGAGCTCTTGTATTCATGGCTTTCAGTTTAAATAGAAATGTCTTCCCTCAGCAATTTCGCATTGCAGGCAACTTGGGAGATGTAGCTAGCACAACTGGAAGAGGAGAGGGAGGGAAATCCCTAGGACTCAATGACAACATTAAGGAATTCAGAGGGTCTCCTACAGGAAACAAAAATCAAAAAATTAAAAAGAAAACAGCCAACAACACCTTCCAGTTTAAAACTCTCTATAAGTCATTGTTTTACAGACAAAAATGTCAAGGGAGGCAGTGTCTTCTGGTGGCAAATATTCCCATATTTCCTCTTCCTTGTGAGCTTGACTACGACATTTGTGTAGAGTCCAGTAACATCACAGGAGGCTAAATAACAACATTTACTGCAATATCTAGAAACAGGAGAGTCTAGAGCCTCCAAAGTTAGCCCAGGATACTCTCCAACCATGGCACTTTAGGAGAGGGATTGCCAATATCCAATACTTGGAATGGATTGCAAAATTTGTCCCTGCAACAGTTATGAGTAAAAATTGACATTGAATAGAGGCAGGAAGTCTCACTCTGGTTGGAGTTTGGGAGTTCCCTCTGTATACCCACAGGCTCATGGAGCCAATGGCTCCTGGAAGCTACAGTTTGGCCCCTGGGAGACATGGATGTGGAGAATGAACTTGGCATTAATCCCATATGAACCCAGAAAGAAGGTCTCTAGATCTGCAGGGGTGCACAGCCTGCAGCAAGGTGCACCCATAGCTGCATACCTTCACAGTATGTTAAAGGCCAGCTGCTGGTCTCACCATGGTATATATAGCCAAAATAAGGGTGCCAGTGGTCTTACTCCTGGTCTATACCACCATACCAGAGGGGAAACATTTTCTTTGTCAGGCTTAATTAAGAGAAAGACACTTAGAGCTAAACAAATAATTCTTTACACAGGGCATGACCAGCCCTTCTCAGCCTGCAAGCCACTGAGCAAAATTTTCACACCGTGGTGAGCAACCAGATCCTGACCCTGGAGCCTTAAAACCACGTGGAGGAGGAGCTGGGAGGCAGAAAGTGAGAGCTACCCCATCCCTGAGCTCTGCAGCTCCCTGGGTCATGCTGGGTGCCAGGTCACAGGGGTTCCTGCACAGGCTCACATCCACCCCCCATCCAGCACTGGGCTTAATTTTCACAGTCCCACACATCTTCAAACCAGTGGGAATTAGAGGCTTTATGATCCTACTTCCATGATTCAGAAGCTTACAATTTTGCGGGATGTGGGTGCTTCCCTCGCGTGGGACATCTGAAAGGCCAAGCCTTGCTCATCTTCAAAATTACATTTAGTGCTTGGATATCTTTCATGTCACAGTGCAATTTCCAGGATGAATGCATATGCTGCACCCCTTTATGGTAAGCATGTTTTAATTTAGGCCTCTGTGATGTAAGACCCTGAAAAGTGCATTTAATATTGAAAAGGCAAGCTCGTCCTCAACACTAAAGGCACAAATACGATACCACAAAACATTTTCTGAAGGGTGTGCCTTCTTCAAACACACCTTCACTAGAAAGATTAAAATTCAGAAAGAAGAAGGCACAGGTCTTACAGTCATTATTTAAAAAAAAAAAAGTCAGGGGAAGCATTATAACTAAGAATCTAAGTTTAATTCTTTATCCAAGTTACATGTTGGCACAAGTGTAAAGGAAAGGGCTCTTGTTTAGGCAGCAAGGAGTATTTGTAGGTGAAAACACTTCTTTGAAGGGTGAAAAATGTGTTTCATCTGTAGAGAGTTATTTTCGAACTTGGAAATCAGGGCATAAAGAATCTTTCTAAAGTAGAAATGCAGAGTAGAGCACTTTTACTCAGGCCACACCAGGCAAACAGCTACAACCACGTTCAGTTTGATGGGGCAGTTTTCACAGCAGCATTTCATTTTTATCCATGATGATTTAAACTAATAAGAAGATAATTAGCAGTGTGATATTTAGGCTTTGAAGCATTTAAGTTTAATTCAAAATTCTCCTAAGTTTGAAGTAATTCTGATATGTCTCACAAACATGTTAGAATTTATTTCTGTCCTTTCTGATAGTAAATTACAAGAGAACAGAGGGGCTCAGGGGATTTAAATACCACTCACAGCCAAGCAGCTAAACACACATAAAAAAGCACAGGGAATTAAACTCGAGTAGATGTTGTTTTCCTGCCCTAGATGACTCCCAAATGCTCATGAGTTCAAGTCCTCTCCCTGACACCTGGGTATCTCCTCAGGCTGTGATTTCTTCTGCTGTAATGGAAGTGCAACACTCTTCACCCCTACAAATGATTGTGAAGGATACGAATGAAGACTAGTCATACCAGACGTTATTACATGGATGTACTAACTATATCAAAAGTCACAATATATGATTTATTACATTTTTAAATTTTTTTTTCAAAATCTCCTGTTTCTCAGTGATCTTCTTCCCCTCAATACTTGGAAAATTAACATAAGAAAATTCCATATAACAAAGTGCCATTGTTTAAAGGTCAAAGCCCCTTTTGGGGTAGCTGTGTGCAGCAAAGTAAGTTACTGCAGAGCTTCCACTGCTTCCTGCTGTAGCAGATTTTATGATCAAATAAACCTCTGGCTGTGATTTTGGTGACAGCTGTATGGTAGTGGCATGAAGCCCTTTCCACTGCTAGCATTCTACAGAAAGCACAAAGCAACAGGCTCTGGTGACCCTTCTCAAAAGGTGCTTTGCTCATCCTGTTACTTGGGGAGGTCCATCTGCAGAGGGGATAGAGTTGACCTTTCTACAGGAAAGTGAAAATAACCTCTGCTTTCCATCCTCACAGGATTTTAAAGAAGACAGTTATCCATGTTTCTTTCAAGAAGACAAAGACTTGTCCTGGTTTGCTTTCCTCCAAGAGAGGAAGGGCCAAAATTCAGACTGCCATCTCACAGGACTTTGATCAAGTCTTGTAGGAGAGCTTTCACTTTCTTAGACCGAGAAACATCAAAGAAAAGACCCAAATCTCTTCAGAGCTGAGCAGGAACCAATTTATGAAAAGCTTTTTAATGTCACAGCTATCCAAAGCATTTTGTGCAATAATAAATTAAATACTGGTAATGTGGCAATGGCTTCGGCACAAGCAGAACCAGTTATATGCAAGGTAATGCATCTGGACATGTGGTTAGGGCAAATTTTTCCCCCCTTGATGAATCTTGGACTATAGCTCCTGTTGTATAGAAGGAACAGATCAGGTGGGAGAGAAGAAGCAGAAAGCAAAAAATAAAGGAAGAGCACAGACTCTGTGATATGTTTGATGAAGACAAAACCAATGGTATCAGTCACCAAAACATCATCTTCATAAGCTCTCTGGCTCCCTGGTTTGTTTTTTTTTTAAAAAAAAGGTTATAAAATGCAGAGATTCCTGTCCACATTGAACACGTGACCCTGAAGACATTCATCACTCCAGCATACACGTGTTCTCCAACGCGTGAAATCAAGAGGCAGGAATTTACCATAAGCCACTGAAGGTACATAATTGACATTTAAAATAAAATATCTCTTCTGGATGGCCTGATCCTGCTGCCACTGCCTTCAGTGGGGCTGAGTCAGGCAGTTATCAGTGCCATGTAACTCCTCCCTTACAAACCATCCCTCCAGCCATACTTTGTAAAGCTGCAGTCAAATAATTATCATGTGTTAAAAGTACGTGCAGGAGGGGATGAAATTCTCTTCCTAAACATAGCTTACAGCACATCCATTTAAGTGTAAATGCTGGGGTTTCTACACTTGAAGAGAAAAACAGAATCAAAAGCAAATGTTTACTTGAAGAGAAAAACAGAATCAAAAGCAGATGTTTACCTGCCATGGATCCAGGAGGCTTCCTTCACAGTCCCTGCAACTTAAGTCAAGTACTCCTGACTATGGAAATCAAGCTTATTTTTCAGAATGTCGTCCACTTGTTGTTTTTTAAATAATTCTTTTTGGTCACACTAAATCTTAAATTAACCCCCACTCCTCCCTGTGCAATTTTAGCACGATGGTATTAACTGTAGAACGAACAAAAAAAGCCCTTCAGCTGCCACTTCAGCACACCCCATATCTGGAAGAGTTTTTACTTTCAGCTTTTAAGGTCAGAACACACACCCAGCAATAACCAGCCTTTCTTCTTTTTTTTTTTTTTTTTTTTCCTCTAAGAAACTGGAGAGCCTGCTATCTAAAACAAGGGAGTTTTGTGAGCAGGAGTCAAGCCTGTGCTTTTGGCGTTACAGGTGTGAAGCTCTCATAACCTGGGCTTCCATTTCTGGGCTTTGTTAAGCCTGGCAGCCAATGTTGCTGGAGATGCAGCTGGCAGGGAGCACGTGGAAGGCCTTGCACCCAGTTCCTGCAAATGGCAGCTTCTGTTAATAACCAGAGCAGAGTTGTGCATTTTTATTCCCTTCTAGACAGAGCTGTATTCCATACTGGAGTATATGCATAGTCCCAAAAGGTTTGTGTGGAGTGACTAATTACCTTTCTCCTTAGAACTGGGCAGGGAAGCATAATATGTGTGTGATTACAAGGACATAAAAGGAGCGTAGGATTATTTTCCATGAGAATCCTTGGGAATATCTTGAGGGGTGGCTGTCTAAGGTGGTGCTCTCTGCAGGACCATTAAACTCTCCTCCCAGCTTCTTCATCATGTGCTGTGATTTATCCCTGGAAAAGCTATTCAGTGGTGCATGGGGTTAACCATGAACCTTCTTTAGCTCTAACTCTCCACCTCTGAGTCCTTCCAGGACACTCATAAGCCATGTGCTATAATTGCCTAGCTGGAGTTGTTATGAGGATGTTGACACAAGGAAAAATATCTGCCTGGAGAAGAGGGTGGACTGGCACCCTTTGAAATCAAACATTGTCAAGCATCTTTAAAGTTCTGTATGGGTCATGTCACCGAGCAGCCCTGAAGCTGAGGGCTGGGTTCAGAGGGACACAAATAGGGTGCATATAACTCATTTCCCCTGCGTATCATATGCCACTGAACGCCTGACTAAGCCATGTCCTCATTTCCATATTTCAAAAGCTTAATTTAACTCCAGAAGCCTTTCCTGATCAATGCCTGTGGGGGGGTTTCTCCCACGTCTGGGCCTGGACTGGGGAATCCTGCCATTACAACTGCTCAGACACTGAATAGGACCCTCTACTCACAGCAAGACACTGGGTCAGAAAAGGAGGTCAAGCCATGAAAACTGATTTTGCTAAAGTAAGCAGTCAACTGTTTGTTGTGTCACCTGCTGAGGCCAATCAAAGAGTTTTGCAATAAAGGGGGCACGAGTGTTCAGAAGGGTTGGTCTCACAATAGCTGTGCAAGACAGGGAGGAACACCCAAGTGAATTTTGGCCATCAGAAGGCAACTTTTTGAAATACACTTAAGGGTTCAAGCCTAATTCAAATAATCCCCGAGGAGGGGAGGAAAAGGTGTGCACAGCTCCAGTGTTTATCCCAGACCCATCCACTTTTGTGCTCCCTGAAGTACGAACAGAGTATTTGACATCTGTTTGTTCAGCTCCCATGAGGCTCTGGAAGCAGCTGTATCAAAAATGCAGAAACCTCTCAAGGGTGGAAAGGCATCTCAAGAGAAGAGCAGCCCTTCCCTCATGCCAAAAGTAGCCCAGCTTTAGGACTAATCCTGAGGTTGCCGTGACAGTTGCAGAGTTCGTGCACATTATTTTTTTGATTTGACGGGCCAGGGCACGCTGAGTTGGGAATGCACAGAAGGAAAGCTCCGCTGGGGGACTGACAGCGGTAAGTGAAGGTTTTGTAGCAGTTTTTCCTTCTAGTCATTCAGCACAAAAAGGTAAGAAGAAGATAAAGAAGCAGCTGTGCACCCATCTCTTGCTGAGTCCATACCAGGGACTCAACTCCAGTGGGACTCCCAAAACCATCATCCTGCATCACTGCATCTGAAGGAATCGCCCCCACCAACACTGCTGTCTCACTAAACTTGCTAATGCCCACCCTGTTACCAGGGTGGAATTTGGGGTGGGGGTGGGAAGGCTGAAGTGCTGAACTCAAGATCAGAGCATTTTCCTGCCATCTGCACCACAAAGACAATGTGTCATGTGCTAGTGAGATTACAGTTTAGGTTTGTTATCATCCCTTTATATCAAAAGGAAGTTATGCACACAAAGGAAACACCAAACCATCGTGTCAGGGGAGCTATAAATCACATACTGCTGAATATTACGAGGGCAACAGAGTGCCCAGTTAGAAAGCAAGGGTTTTGAAAAGACCCCTTTTCCTCACAGTCTCCTCATTTCAATAAACTTTGTTTGCATTTTGGGAGAGGGTGAAGGAGAGCGCATGGTTTCGTGAAATCAGCTACAAATGACAGCAGATTTGTCCCACACAAGTGACTCATGGCTGACTGCATGCACTGGTCAATGCCTCCCAGACACCAGCACAGTCATTGCTGTTGCCCAGGTTGATCCCTTGGTGTCCTGAAAAATCACACAGGCAACAGCATAAGAGATCTCCTAAGATTTGTTGCCACTTTCAGCCCTAGTAAAACACAGTTACAAAGAAATAAAAACTAGAAAACAGTGGCATAGTCAGTTCTTCAGCAAACCAGTTCATCTGGCAGTGAGGGTCCTTTCTGCTTTCCTGCTCTGATCTTACCACCCTCCAAAACGACATCCTGGGAAGACTGCAAGGAGTTCTCCACCTTCTCTTCCCCTGGCAGGTGCCTGAAATGATCCTGACAATTCTCCAAATCAATTCTCCAAAGGCATGCTGAAATCCCACTCCTGCTGAAAAGAACCCTTAGTATTTCCACAGTCTCTGACCTCCCAAAAAGTGTCAACTGGGGAAAACACAGATGTAATCATTGCTTTTAAAATATGATTGCTGCTCGAAAGAATTATCAGTGAGGGGGGTAATTGTCTGGAGGATGGCATGATTCAGGACTGCTGACTTCCACTCCTCACTCATTCAAAGTCACCGAGTGAGTCAGTGGAAAAATCATTGAATTCAGCACAGTCAACAGGGTACCAACATTCATATTTAGGTTCCTAAATCAACAGTGTGGAAGACTTCAGCTCAAAGGTTTTACAAGCAAGAGTAAGTGAAGGTAGGAGGTTACATTGCAAGCCTGCAGTAAATGCCATCCTGAAGTTTGCCACTTCAAATTCCAGTTACTTCTCACCCTAAATAAGTGGTAGCTAAAGGTGTAACAGCACTCAGGGAAGTCCATTCCAATCCAAGCAGAAACGAGGTCCATATGCCAGAGTCTCTGCAACAGCTAAAGCATTACTTTGCAAAATAAATGTTTCTTTTGAATACAAAACACAGGACAGTCACAGCATGCAAATCGTTAGTATGCAGGAGCTGCTGCCTTGAAGCTCTGCCACCCATAGCTAATTAATTCTAGGTACTGTAATGAACACATCACAGGGAAGCACTATTCTGTGTCTGAGCAGAAACTCTGTATACAAACAACACAAGGCACAAACAGAAATCACACCTCTGAGAGGGAGCCTTTTCATTCAGAAAAGTCAGTCATCTCGAATGCACCACTCGCAAGAACCGGCACAGTAACCTGAATATCAGAGAAATAAAATTGAGTATCTATCGGCATGAAAGTAATATCAAGAGGGAGAGAAATCATTCAGAGAATACATCGCTCAGCAGCTTCTAAATTAGTAGGACAGTGAAAGCAGAGATCAAATATGAGATCTTGCAAATCCACAGGAAATGACTCAAGAAGCCAGATCAAGTGAAACTTCAGCTTCCAAGCCTCAGACACATTTGCTTCTCACCACTGGGCCAAATACGTGCATACACAACGTGAGCACATAAAAATACATCCAGATCACACAGACAAGCTCTCAAGTATTAATCAGACAGTGATTAATACCCAGTCCTCCTCAGTGGTACATGCATTATGATGGTCTTTTAATTACAAGATTGTGCCCTGGTTTTTTCATATGGCCATAACTCTGCCCTTATTCTGCTTCTGTAGTAACCAATTGCTAAATGCCACACTTCCCACTTCAGGTGCATTGATGTTCCTGCTGACCACGGAAATTTTTGGCATGAAAGGTTTTAAGGATGTTAGAGGTCTGTGCAATCACAACATCATTTGGAAAAAAAAAAAAAAAGACATAGGATGGGTAGAAATGTGTCAAATCATTACTTCTGGTCTTTTATTGTACAGCAGCTGAAGACGTTCCTGCCATTTCCTTGGCCCTAACCATTTACTCCTGCCCTGACACTTCCTTTTGCTGCCAACTCAGCTTTGCCAAGATGTTTATCATGCCATTCTGCAAGTTGGATCCTTGAATAACTTTCCAAAATAAAGAGGTATTGGGGGGTATTATTAGCTGGGACCATTCAGCAGATCCAGCAGTGTCACTCCTCAGCTCGGGGGGTGCATTAGCACAGCCGAGGGGGTGACAAACTATGCTTTGCAGAGGAATGAATGGGTGGGAATGGGGTGGGGATGTAGGCAGCATTTCCACCCAAAAGAGCATGCCATGGGCTGCCAAGGGTTGGAAAGAAGGCTTGCACTCTCATATATTGTCTGGTGTTACGGCCAAACCTCTGGCAGTGGCAGGAGCATCACTATAACATTGTAATGCCCCCAAAGCAGTGGATTCTGGTACCACCTCCAAAGGATATGCTGCTTCTCCCTGGGAGTGACTGCCCAGAAGGAAGACCTCAAAGCTTTCATCAGCTCTTGCCTTCATCGCATTACTAGCAGTCCACAGATTTTTCTCCAAGTGTCCATTTCTGTTCCTGAAAAGAAAATTAGCAGAACTTAGAAACTGAAACCCAATGGAGCAGAAACACAATTTCCACACCAAAACTTGAAGGTCCCTTGAAGACTAAATCCCACAGACTAGACTTGAAAGACAAATGAGCAAGTGGCTCCCTCAGGAATTGCAGCCACATTGAGAGTGAATATCCCTATGCAATGAGAGCAGAGAAGGCACATCTCCCTACCTGCAATGGGAAAGGGATGCTTCAACGGGAGGGGCCTATGGAAGTTGGAAGGTCAAGGTGATGAGCTTGGGTGGGACAGACACATTTCTTCTCCCAGGATTGCCTGATCACAGAGCACCTGGTGGAGAAAGCAAAACCAAAACTCACTGATGGTTACTCAGATTCATGGGCCAAACTTTCTTTTCAATAGTGAGCTCCTGTTACTCCCTCCTCTGTGGACCAAACAAGTCCTGAGGGCAGACGTCAAGGCGTAGCTATAGACACGAGTTGAGAGAGTGTTTACAGTTACGGCACTGTTCACTGCAGCAAAAAAACATTTAAACTGGCCTACAAAACAAGCTGCAACGATGCTACCAGAATGCCAGCACAGACCCCATAGCAATGCTGAACATGGCTACATGTCGATTTGAGCTCTCACGAGGGGAAGGTGCAGTGGGAAGAACACAAGGGTGGTGAGAAACCAGATGCATGGGCTGAGGAGCCCCATCACCTCAGGACACGCTGCTGTGGGGCCAACACTGGCTCCCTGGGCTCTTCTTTTACCAACTGGCTGCCAGATCCCCCACTGGACACATGGCGTCGTGGTATGGAAATTCTTCCTATGGGTCTCATCAGCCATGACAAGGAGCTGTGCCGATCCAGGCTCCCCTGGGTCAAACTGAACCAAACCCAGCTGGGCTGGAGAGGTCAGGCTGAGGTGAGCCAAGCTGTCCAGAGAAGGGCAACAAAGCTGGTGAAGGGAATGGAGCACAAGTCCTGTGAGGAGTAGCTAAGGCAGCTGAGGGTGTTTAGCCTGGAGAAAAGGAGGCTCAGTGGTGACCTTATCATTCTTTACAACTACCTGAAAGGAGGTTGTAGCCAGGTGGGGATCAGCCTCTTCTCCAAGGCAATCAGTGACAGGACAAGAGGGCATAGTCTTAAGCTGCACCCAGGAGGTTTAGGCTGGACATCAGGGGGAATTTCTTCACCGAAGGGGTGATTAGACATTGGAATGGGCTGCCCAGGGAGGTGGTGTACTCACTGTCCCTGAAGGTGTTTAAGAAAAGACTGGACATGTCACTCAGTGCCACGGTCTAGTTGACATAGCGGTGTTCGGCCAAAGGTTGGACTCGGTGATCTCAGAGGTCTTCTCCAACCTAATTGATTCTGTGATTCCGTGATCCTGAGCGCCGCCTGGGAGTGCTGCGCCAGGACTCGCTGGGTCAGGCTGCGCAGGGCTGAGCGGGGCCGGGGGAGGCTGAACCGGGCGAGCCGAGCGGGGGTCGGACAGACTCGCAGCCGGGCGGGCCGATCCCGTCCCATCCCGTCCCGTCCCATCCCATCCCACCCGGGCCTGGCCGCGGGAGGCGCTGGTGGCGGGCGGGGCGCGGGGGCTGCGGCGGGCGCGGGGGGCGGCGCCGGCGGGCGGGGGCGAGCGCGGCGGGACCGCACCCGGGGCGCTGCGCTGCGCCGCGGGGGCTCGGGGGGCCGGGCCGGGGCGGCGCCATCGCCGCCCGCGTCTCCTCCTTCCACCGCCGCCGCCGCTGCGGCTCCGTCCCCTCCCTCCCGAGTCCGGCGCTGCCCTGCCCCGCTCCCGGCGGCCGCGGCAGCGCCGCCGCCGCTTCCTGCCGGGGCTCCCCGCTCCTTTCCTTCCCTCCCTTCCCGGCTCCGCCGCCCCCCGCGGCGCCCCGCCATGGCGTGAGCGCGGCCATGGGGCTGGCCCGGCGCCGCCGCCTGCCCCCGGGCGCTGCGCCGCTCCCCCGGGCCCGGACCCCGCGCCGCCGCCGCCGCCGCCGCGCCCCGCCGCGCCCCCGCGGCGCGCTGACCGCCGCCTCGCCTCCTCCTCCTCCTCCGCCCCCGGCCGCCGCCGCCCGGCGACGAGCGCGGCCGTAGCCCCCCCCTCCCTTTCCCTTCTCCTCCTCCTCCTCCCCCCCCACCCCCCGCCGCCGCCCGCGCTCCCGCGCCGTCGGGCCCGGCGCGGCCGCCAGCCCCGGCCCGCCGCGGCGCGGCCTCCCTCGCCATGTGAAGCGCCGGGGAAGATGCGGAGGCGCAGCCCGGCCGCCCGCGGCGAGGGATGAGCCTAGACGGGGAGAAGATGACCGAGGAAGCCTACCCTGACGAGTGAGCGGGGCCGCGGGCGGGCGGAGGGGGGCCGGGGTGGGGGGGCACCCTTTGTTGCCCCCGGCGCGAAGCGGTGCGGGGGTCGCTCGCTCCCCTCGGACAGACGGACCGGGAGCGGGCGGACAGAGGGACGGCGGGCACGCGCGTACGTGTGCGCGCCGCCCGCCCGCGCATCCGCCATTTCGCGCTCCCCCCCGGGCCGCGCTCATTTGCATACGGCCCTTTCATTCATAAAAAACCCCCGGGAGGGCGGCGCGGGGTTCCGGGGGCTCCGCGGGGAGGGGGCCCCGCGCCGCCGCTCCCCGCCCCGGCCGAGGGGCTCGGGGCGCCCGGGCGGGGGCGGCGGAAGCGGCGGCGAAAGGAGGAAGGGGGAGCGCTGCGCGCCCCCGCCCCGCGGCCCCCGGGTCTGTGGGGGTGTGTGGGGGGGTTCGGGACGCGGAGCTTGAGGCGGGGGGGGGGGGGGGGGGACAGACACGACGTCGCGGGTCCCCGCCCCGGCCGCCGCCGTTTTGTGAATAGGAGGGCGGCCGCCGCCGCCGTCACATGACGCCGCATTCATAAACCCGGTCACCGGCGGCCTCCCCATTCACCGGCACCCCCGCGCCGCACCCCCGGGGGGATGCGGGTACCCACGCCCGCTCCCGCCGCCTCCCCGCGGATAAACCCCCCGCACGAATAACCCCCCCCTCAGGAGAGGCCGCGCCGAGGCTTTCAAAATGCCTGACGGTGCCCTTTTCCCTTCTTTTTTTTTTTTTTAATGTTTTCTTCCCCAAAAATAAAACCCTAAGCTATTGCAGGGGGACGGCAGGAAGGGCTTTTTCACGCCGCGCTGGCCCAAGGGCTGTTCCTGGCTATCTCCTTCGGGGTTTTGACAGTCAAGAGGAATGACTCACTGGCGTGCAGGACTGGGTTGGTGCCAAGCGCCATAGGATGTACCGTGCTTTAAAATGACTCCTCGCAGGGCTTATAAAGCAGTGTCAAAATTGTGCAACTTTTTGGCTCGTTTGGAGCCCGAGAAAATATCATAATTGGTGGCATGTGCCACACTCGCACCTTCGTCCTGGTAAACTTATTTTAGGGCGATTTGCTGGAGAAACATGAGTGGCGAAGGAAATGGCTTCTGCCTGCAACATGCTGAGAGGGATTGTTATTTTGGCAGTTCTTAATGAAGAGACTATAAATACGTGTTTATATGTAGCTTCTGAAATTGTGGTTATTTTGAAGTTGGTAAGGTTCTTGCAACAAAAAAAAGAAAAAGTTGAGTTTCTCTTGCATGGATTACCATGACCTAACAGGCTGGAAAAATGTGGCCAACTCATTTCCAATAAAAACCCGCCGGTTCTTTGTTTGGGGTTTATTTTTTTTTGTTGTTTAATTTTGCAAATTGGACAAGAGGAGGGGAAGTGGGTCCTTGTCTCTGGGTTTGAGAACACAGGGACAAACCTAACCCAATTCAGTGGACAAAATCTAATGCTCAACCAGCCTTCATCCTGTGGCAAGATATTGCTCCAAATGTGTTTTCCTGCAGGGCTTGGTGTGGAGGTGAGTGTCAGTGTAAAACAGCGAGCACTTGGCTCTGATGGTTGGTTGGGGTTTTCTTCCCTTAATTGTAGGCTGCAGTTTGTTTTGGAGTAAATTCTTCCTCCACGTGCCACTGCGCTGCCATGCTGGTGGAGGCTTCAGCTGGATGGGTTTCATGTGTGTCCCTACCTGAGCTGGGGAGGGAAGCTCTTGGGTCACACCACCTCTTGTGGGGTCACCAGTCAACCCAACAATCCCTGGGAGATGGGGAGTACTGGTGGCCACGGGGAGCTGGTATCCAACCCATTCCCAGGCCACCAATAGCCTTTTTATTGGGGTTTGGATGTGGTGGCTTTCAGGATAAATGATGCCTCATGGTCCTTACCCCGAGTGGCTCTTTTGGAGACCATGGTTGGGCTTGTCAGAGTTCAGTCCAGGCCTTTGCCTTGTAGGGCACAGCTAGGTGTTTTAGGTAAGCCATGGTTTCCTCTGTAAGCTCCTCGCTTCCAGCCTTGCATTGATTGATAGCGTCGCTGAAGCCGGTGACTCATGGGTTGTTTTTTCATTTCAGTGGTGGGTGAAGTGATTTGATTTTTTTTTTTTCCTTCCAATATATATGGTGTTAAAAGAAATAAGGACAGGCTCTCCTGATAAGTTTTCTCGAGCTGTCAGAACAATGGTAGTATAGCGTGCTATTTGCCCTAGATATCTGGCTTTAATTTGCATAGCTATTCTTGTTTCACAGAGTGCACTGTGAGCAAATGTTAACAGCCAGATTACAAAAAAAAAAAAAAAAAGGACCACTGTCAGGATGCCTTTTAAAATAACCCTCAAGTAAACAACAAAGGGGGTCTCCCTCCATTTTTTTGCCTTTTTTTTTTTTTAATAATTTCTTGAGAACAGCTAGATAAGATTTTGAGTTTTGAGACAATTTATAAAACCGAGGAGAGAAAAAAAAATGGGGCTTAGGATGCTGTAAACTCATCGGTCCCTTCACCACTGCACCATTTCGGATCGATACTTAGAGGTCAATTTGTCATTGCAAAGCGAGCGCCTCAATCTGCATCTCAGCCTTTATTTCTGCTTCCCCTCCTTCCCCCCCTCCACACGACGCAGGGTTGGGGGAGAGCGGGGACGCCTGATAATAAATTGGAGGCATAAAGCTGCAACGGTGGGAGAGTTTTCGGGAAGTGCTGCCTCTGTATCCAGACGATGGGCAGCTGCCCACTGCGAGCGGTGACCCTCTCCAAAACCACCAGCTCCCAGATGGGCTGCCGGTGTCTTTCCGTAGGGTGGATGGAGCTGAACCCTTAAAGTGACTCGGTTATGGCCGGAGGCTGCCGCCTGCTCGTTCCGATGCATGGTTCCAAGAAAGTCACAGGAAGTAATTAAATGGAAAAGGTCAGAGAACGAGGAAGTGTTGGTCCGCAGCCTCTCGCTGCCTGGGATGGAGCCGCGGTGCCCTGCCTGAGCCCGTGTCCCCGAAGTGTCCCCGCTCCTCGGAACGCGCGCTTGATTTATTCCAGCGGGCTCAGAGCACGCCTGCCAAGTGTTTGCAAGTGGGACTGACTGGTCCCCCGGAGGTTTTTAACGAGCTGGGTTAAGTGGGATATGTGTAGGGCTGCTGTGGTGTTGTCCAGGACAGCAGAATGTGGTGTGAGATCACACCGATGCGTTTTTCCCAGTCTAGGGAAAGAAAATTAAACTTAAGCCTCATTTGTTCTTTTGCTGGTCCCAAAACCCCACTTCCCTTCACCCCTGAGCAGAGATCAGCGATGCTTGTCTAAATACTGAGTCCATCAATGTTGCAGTTTGCCCTTTATGCTGAAAAAAATAATTTATTTCCTTTTTTTTTTCCCCCTTTCATTTTTCACTGTGTTTTTGCCTGGTGATTTTTCTGTAGGTATCAAAGGCAGCTCATTCAGCCAAATTATTTTGCTGCAAGCTTCAGCCAGGGAGGAAGGCATGGGACATGCTGCGTGTCATGACATTATTGCTTGCAAATAGGACAGGAAATGAAGGATTGCCAAAATATAACTGTTTATTTCTTGGCCTGAAAACATGCCTGTTTAAAATATGACATGTAAGTAGCTGCTTTGTTCAGTCACTGGGAGAAGTTGCTGTTTATAAGGGAATAATAGCTCTGTTGGATGAAAAAAGAGGGGGGGAGGGAAGAAGGGATTTACCCTTTCTACTCTTTCTCCTTCTGTCTTGGAAATGCTTTAAAAAGAAATTGTAGGTGGAAGATATATGGAGAGGGTATTTTGTCGGACAACTGGAAAGGAAACCTGTGGGAAGAGGGTTGCCACAAGCAGGAGGGAGATGGATTTTGAATTTATCAGCACATTATTAGTCCACACCGTGGCCCTGGGCAGCCCTTGGGTAACCCCGATTCTGCATTGAAGAGAAGAAACCTAAACAACCCACCTTTGGGCCAAAAAGTGAGGTTTTTCGGTGCGACTCCCCTCATCCAGAAGTGCTTTGGGATGCTGGTGGTGGGATGGTGCTGGAGTGCAGTGCAGATGCCGCACCAGCAATGGGATCCTCTTTGACCTGTTTTTGCAGCCTGTTTTTTATCTCGCCGGGGCACACCCTGGAGCGTGGGTTAAAAGGTAGGTTTTATCTGCCTGTTTAATTAAATCCCGAGGC